AGTACACATATCACCATCACCCCAAGATTATCTTGTCCTTTGCCAGATTCTGTAATTTGAAGATGACTAATTTCAGTATGACAAACATGGAATGACTGGTAGTGGCGAGTACTAGACCAAAACCCCAACAGTACTTCTCTGTAGCCCTTCATCTGAGGAAATCAAATAATTATTGGTATTAACATGAAAGGATTTGTAAAGTGAAGTCTCTTGGGGGTCTCCCTGGATTGTAATGATTTCATTCAGAGCCAGAGTCTGCTCCTGGTTTCCCTTTATCTAACATTGCCACGTAAAGAAGGAGGCTAGGGGGAAATACAGGCCTGCCTGTGCTGACCTGCCCTCCAGACGATTTCTCCGCAGCAGGAAGAGAGACACACTCTAAGTCTTTAGGGTAGCTATTGGGCTGATGACAATTTGACAAAGTGGTTGGGGTTCGGCCACCTGAATCATTTACAGGAATGTTGCTTTCCAGGTTGCATGGTACTTTCCACATTTCTGGACCAGATTTCTCTACCATTCATCCTGCTCAAGAAATGGAAAACTGTGCAAATCTATCTACTCACTGTTTTTATTATCTAGGTTACTCTATCAGCCAGAAAACGTAGCTTAATCCGTTTTGGTGTCAGGTGCTCCTGAGAATGACACAGAACTAGTTATTTTGCTTTTCTTAGTTTGTTCATTTTGACACAGAAAGTGGATAATACTCATTTTAGAGGATTGCTTCAGACACTAAAATGCTTAACATGTAAAAATGTTGAGATTTATCTTAAGTTACTGAAAAAGTATTGGTGCATTTTTTAAATTACCTGCGTGAAGTCCATTACATGTCCCTAAAATAAAACAGAGCAGAGCTAGATTCTAGTGGAACTCAGGTGGAAATGTCAAATTCCCTAACCCTCACACAGGATAAGAATTTGGATTCCACCCTCAGTGTCAAAATAGACTTCACCTTCAAAACAGTTCGATACATATTTATCAAACACCACCTTTTCCTGTTCCCTCCTTTAATTTGCCCTCCTTCCTCTATTCCTCCAGCTCTCAAATTACATTGCAAACAATTTTTTAAAAAGAATGTGCAAGATGTGTTTTTTTGTTGTTGTTTGCTCTTTTGACATACCCCAAACATACAAAAACTTGGGACATCGTGGAATTCATACAGCTTAGAAATTGGGCTAGTGTTAGTCATGTTAATAAGGATGTCAGCAAAGTTGGCAAAGAATATGGAATGAGTTCCCAAGAATGACAAACCTTAAGTTACTACAAAGATTTAAAATCAGGGACCTCCCTTGAGCAATCTGGCTAATAGTCTCACTGCTAGTTTTAATTACTTTGGAATGGAAGGAGGTATCATATTTGTAGGCCACAGTAATCTATTTCCTCAGTTTCTCTGCATAAAAAGCTGAGCAACAAAATATAGTGCTATGTCATCTTGATTTAATGAATACTAAGTCACAGAATGAATCAAACCACCCAGGCCTTTCTCCAACCTTTGTGAATCCCTCATTCTTGTACTTCTGTTTCTTCTCATTACACTCTTTTCTTTCTTTCCCCCTCCCCCAAATCACATCTCTGCTGTTGCCTACTGTGTGATCACTCTACAATCTCAGTAGCCCCCAAGGGGCAAATGCCCATAATAAAATGACCATTTCAATCACCACTCAATACAAAAGTGTTTGTGCAGAGTTTACTCTGTGGTTAGCACCAAACTTTCTGTCTTTTGTGCCACCAAAACAGTGAACCTATATTTCCCCCAAACTATAATATTTCCTCATGCTTTATTCTTAGTGGGGTGAGGTCAGGAGAGAAGTGAAAATAAAATCTTCTAGCACTACCCTCCTTCTGGCTAGTAGTACGCCCAGCACACATGCAGATGGCAGACAAGTCTTTATTCCCTCAGAGCTTCTCTTCCAAGAAACTCCTCACTCACCCAATTCTTCCATTGTCACACACCCAAGGTGCTCTGGTGCCACAGGTTGCAAGGAACTGCTTTGGTCTGTGCTGAAGAAGAGGACTGCAAAGGAACTGAATGAGACAGCGTGAAGCAGCCTCTATAACCCTTTTTGGTTCCTACATTTGCTTAGCACTTCCTCTCTTCTAATTTGGTGAGTTTCTTTTCTTTTTTCTTTTTTTTTGTAGATCAGAATTTTTAAAATGGGACTGACACAGAGAGGTGGGTACTGAAATCAGAATTCTGGTGGTACATTGGCCAGGACAATTAGGATTCAAAGTTAATTTTGGAAAATTTGAGCACCTACCTACTACATGCCAGAACTCATCTTGAATTCATGAGAATGGCAGATTTGCACTTGTGATTTTTTTCTAATGTGAGTATCCCACTTCTACCATGAATTAGAAAACTCGCTTTTTTGTTGTTCTGTGAAGCTTGGGGACCATGAAGGCACGGTTTGCTTCATAAAATTTCCATCAGAGTTAACCAGTACCCAATTCATTTTGCTGTCTTTGTTTGACTTTCTAGAAATTATGTTTATTTGATATTCTGAATAGATAGTAAACCCATTAAATTCAGCAGAGGCATATTCACATTTGGATTCTTGGGGCCAGTTTATTTCAGTGGTCCAAAAAGCAAACAACTATACAGGGATCAAGAAGAAATGAGACTGAAAGATTTAAGACACTGGGTGCTAAGCTGCAGACATCTCAGTTAAGCACAATTCCTGGTTAGTTACATTGCTTTACAACAGTTTTCTGAACCAGTGATTTCATTCACCTCGAAAAAATAAAACATTTACAAAGGCCTATTATGGGAAGACAGTACGTAAAGGACTATAATTATGGTTCTGTGCAATTGATATTACCCCCACTTTTACCAGTGGTGAAATAGATTCAAGGAATAGTAACTTGCTAAACTGATATAATTAATAGGTAACTTTTCTGCAGTAATATAATTCACATATAACTTCAAAGCCTGTGAACTTTCCTGTATAAGAGTGGTCTTTTTTTTTTTTAAGATGGTCTAAAGAAATAATTCATTCTCCATTCCCTAGTGAGTGAAGACTTTTTAATGGAGATTCCCACTCTGCATTACTTTGAGCAGCCATTGGATGTCAGTGCTGTCCTAAAAGCCTGCATACTTTAAACACGGGTTTGAAAAAATTCCCATCCGCACGCACTGTGCCATTTTTTACAACTGAAATGCTATTAGTTCCATAAAAGTGCAAAACACTCCATGGAAAATAGAAAACATTAGCCTAAGGTGGTAACTGAGCCAAAGTACTGTAAGGAAAAATGCACTTCAGCACTTGGTATGCAAATACTGAACTGTACGTTCAGCTTTAACTGAATGATTGATTAATGTGAAACTCTGATTCCCCAGATCTTGTTTCCATTCGCTTTCTTTGGGCATTTTACTACCGGATACTTTATTTTCCAGGAGTGGAAAAGTGGTCCTAAAAATCCCTCCTTGATTACAATGGATCAAAGAAAGGAAGGAAGGAATGCCAGAGGCCCACTCCCATCACCAAATGCAACTCATAGATAAGCAAATGGAAACTCCCGTTTATCGCATTAGGATGATTTAGCTGCACACGCTATTGGGCAGAAAAGAAATTTTGACAAAGCTGCTGATCTGACTGTGCTTCCTGTGCAGCAGACACATTTAAAAAACCGCAGAAGCAAGTCGCTTCAGAGTGAGGAGCCTGAGGGAGGGCTCGTTTCTACGAATTGGTGACTCTAGTCACGCTAACAACTTCCCTCCGGCCCAGGGATCACAGCCAAGTTCGGCAGTCTACGTCAGCACCTGGGTCTCGAGAATGTCTAGTAGAAACGCAACTCCACAATTCCTTCCACAAACTTTTATTACGAGTAAAACTGGTGGGTAGGCCCCCGAGGACCGGATGCAGCCCGATTCAGTCTCTGATCACAGGTTGGTGGGTCACACAACAGGGTGACGAGATGAATATTGCAGACATGAATGCCAGCTGATTTAAAGGAGATGCCATCTAAAAAACCAAGGCAAGGGCTATTACGTAACCACCCTAGAAATGCTTCCCAACACCAAGAAACGAAGTAGGAAAAAACTCAGGAGATCCTGACGGGCAACTGCCTCAAAATTTGCGCCGGGATGTGTTCGGGCATCTCGCCTTAAACCAGAAATACTGCCTCCCAAGAAAAGGGCACTCGGACTGTGGTAACACTAAACTACTTTTCCCATTCATCATCAATCAAAAATTCCCAGCAACCTCTTCGCCTCTGGTTTCGTTTTTCTCCATAGCCATATAAGTAGGACTTCATATCCCAGGATGCCTTTGGGCAAGTTAACCTTGCGCATGCACTGAAAAGGCGGGCCCTCTCCCTTCATGACCACGCCTCTGTTCTATCGCCGCCATTTTTTCAGAGACTTTCATCCGGCAAGCGACGGGCTTTTTTTCTTAAAGGAGAAGCGACAGCTCAAAAAAAAAATATCCCCTTCTCCCTGCAAGACCTGGCAACGCTGGGGACAGAAAGGCTGCATACAGGAAAGTGGGATCGGGGTGGAGGAAGTAAAACGCCCGGGCTACTTCTTTGGCTTAAGATAGAAAGAGCCCTTGTGGTATTAGCGACTCCTTAGGGAGGCAGGTGCGCGCGCAGCCACACCGGGGAGCGCGCGAGGCGGGAAAGAGGTGCGTTATCCTCCCTCCAACAACCTCGCGAGACCTGCCTCTCCCACTGTCCCTAGCGTGCGTGGAACTCCGGAGGGAGGGGGAAAGGTCACTTTAGGATTGTCGCGAGACGCAGCCGTTAAACGGTGAGAACGGGTACGCGGGGAAGGAAACCTCGCGCGCTCCCTTGGATCCGTTCCCTGATTGGTGGAAGGAAGGGGTGGGGGAGGAAACCAAGTACGTCGCTGCGTGAGTGATCTTGGGGGCGGGGCGAGGAAGCCATTTCTCCTCTTGGATTGGCCCGCCGAGTCTTACGCGCGCGCGCGCGCACTGGGGAGCCTTGAGTGGCAGGGGGCGGGGGCTGCCCTCGGAGCCGGGCGGAGGGGTTGGGGGGGGAAAGAGTGGAGCGCCGATTGAGAGTGTGCAGGACGCTCCGGGAGGAGGGGGGCGGGGGGAGCAGCGCCGCGGCCGCCGCCGCCTCCGCCTCCTCCGCCTGGGACGAAGGGGTGGGGGACGGACGAGCCCCGATGCCGGGGGAGACAGAAGAGCCGAGACCCCCGGAACAGCAGGACCAGGACGGGGTAGAGGCGGCGGCGGCCAAGGCGGCTCCAGAGGAGCTCCAACAACAGCCCCCTGAGGGGGCGGCGGCGACGCCGCCTGCGGGGGCCACTAGCAGCCGCGTGCTGAGGGGAGGACGGGACCGGGGCCGGGCCGCTGCGGCCGCCGCTGCCGCGGTGTCCCGTCGGAGGAAGGCCGAGTATCCCCGCCGGCGGAGGAGCAGTCCCAGCGCCAGGCCTCCGGATGCCACAGGGCTGCAGTCCCAGGCCGTGAAGCCCCCATCTCCAGCTCAGGGCAAGAAGAGTCCGCGACTCCTGTGAGTAATGCAGTCTTTCAGGCGGTGGGAAAGACCCCCCTGTGCCCGCACGCTACCCTCTCGGCTGCCGTAGTGCCCACTCCACGTGACATCCTGCTTGTTCTGCCCCCTGCCGGCTCTCATCACTGATGTCACAGCGCTTCTCTGGTTGCTGTCTTGTCTCTACTCTCCGTTTCTGAATCTGTCGGGCTACTTCCCCACTCCGTGAAATCGTTCTTTGTAGCGGACACCTGTCCTTCCTAGCGGCTCTCTGGTCCCCGGCCGTCGCAGGCTTATCGCGCACTCGGGCTTCTGCACTCCCTTTGTCAGCCTATCCCATCCCCTCCTGCGGCGGCTCTCGAGTATTACATCACATCTCCACTGAGAAGTCAACGACGGGACTTAGCCTTCAAAAGTGTGTCGGTCCCCGCACTTCACTTTAGTTTGCTTAAGAGCTCGTTGCCGTAGTAGCTCTGTGTAGCTTTTTTGACTACCAAATTTTTGTTATTTTTCACTTGCTACTAGGATAAAAACGTGACTTTGCCAATTTTGTTAAGTGTAGTCTTTCATATAACAAGCTTAAGTGGGTATTCATTTTTGTTGTTTTTGCTCGGTAACACGTTTTTTGTATATTTTCGTATACGTATTAACGTAGGAACTTCATCCCTAAGAACTAGACTAGTCTGAATAGAATTTCTTCATTTCCTAAAGATAATAGAGGGTATAGGAACATAAATATTGGAAATTGTTTATTAAAATAATGTTCCTATGTTGAGAACTGTAAAGCACACAGATTTGTAAATCCTAGAAATTAGTCATATTAGCCACATATTAGCCAGTGACTGGCAACATCATTTTTGTCTTCTCACTTTCAAGTGAAAAAAAAAGAAAACTGGTAAAAGCAGGGAGAATTGAAAAGGGGTGGGAAATTAGAATTTTAAATCACCCACTTTCCTACTAAAGTGTGGCAAGATTTGGTTTATACTTGCCCCTGTGACTTAAAATACATTTGTTCTAAAATTAAGAGTGAAGTTATTATGAGCCTTATTTGGATAAAACTTCCTTCCATGAATTTCTGAAACAGCCTGTTCCTCAGTTTCCTCATCTGTAGGACAGAACGTTAATTCCTGTGAGATTAGTTTGTGAGAATCAAATACAGCGTGTGAAGAAGCACTTAGCATAGGGATTTTCAACCTTTTTGCACCTCAAAGCACAAAAATTAGTAAAATCCTTCACATTAAGAAGTATATTTTTTTTGATGATCTGGTAAAAAAGAAAGTATAATTTTGATTCATTCACACACCAGTTGACTGTTGTCATTTTTTTATTTGACAATCTAAGGGAAAGGAGGTCAGTACCCCTGACTAGCCACGTATTGCAAGCTTTAAAAATTCTTGCCGCACACTGGTTGAAAATCGCTGACTTAGCACAAAGCCTGGTACATAGTGAATTTTTTTCATAGTTTTCTTTTTGTTTATTTTTTTCCTCATTACCATTTATCCCCTTTATACCCTCTTCCACCTCCATCCACCCCCGAATATTTATTCAAAGCTATTGTTTTTGAGTAGTGGTGTCATGAAAGAGATATAAATGGTGTGTGTTTGTGTAAATTCTGTAAAACTGGACTTGTTTGTTTTATCACCATACATAGTAGGGTTAATAATTTAGTATAATTTTCAAAATTCCCTTTTATTCTTATGCACCCATTTGAGAGTTAAATATACCTATGTCCTTGACATCTTTCCCTCCCTCAGTTTCAATAGTTTTCCTTATAGAAATTGATCTTTTTAAGATGATTATAGCTACACTAGTAGCTTTACCCTCTGTCGTGGTTTATTTTTTTCCTCCTGACTTGACCAAAAAGTACTAAACTTTTTTTAATTCTACAATATAAATACTAGAATGGTCAAACTTGAATAAAGAGTATTTAAGTTTTTTTCTCTCCATAATATTTCTGTGGGGAGGAATGGTTTTGATTCTTAGCATCTCTTCCTCACTTCATCAAATAACATAAAAAGTATTAGTGTTCTTATACCTTCTGTTAGCCTCTGAACTATCTTTTGATTATTTTAAATTATGCCAGTTTTTAAAATAAATTTTCACCATGACTCTTTTTTTGTTACACATTTTCAATTTACTGCCTACCCTGGAAATGAAAGGAATCATAAAGCATTTCAGCTTGGTAGACCCTGACTGAGCAGTAGCTAAGCCTGGTGCTCTGCTGATCTAGGGTTTATAAAAATAAATGAGATGAGATGCAGATCTTATCAAGGACCTCGCAGTGTAAGGTGAAGATTCATTAATTAGTGGAAGTTTATCATATACATGTGCCTGCTTTACAGATTGCCACAGCGATGAAATAAATTTTAAAACTCAAGTGTGAAGGTTAATCTTTTAAGATGTCTCAAGAGGTTTGAGTATCAGTTTTTCAGAACCCTGGTCAAGTGTGTGCTGACCTTGATTCATCTCTCTCTTTCTAATAACATTATGACAATTTTTTTAAAGGAGTAAGATAAAACTAAAAAAAATCTCTAAAAAAGTATGATTTAATTTCTATATTAATTAATTGTCTTATTCAGGCCCTTTTTTCACATTTCGATATTGCCCCTTATAAACTCCCAGTAATGAGCTATTTAACCTACATTTGTTACTTTTTGATTGAAGAGATACCAAAATGTACAGTAGCTTAAAAGGTCAATAAATACAGCAAATCGAATTGATTGAATCCTCTTTTCTTATTAGAAGGCAAAATAATACAGTGGCAAAATCATAGGACTTCGTCTCAGGTCCCAGCTTTCTACCACTCACTAAGTGACCTTGGGCAAGTCACTTAACAGCCTTAAATCTGCATTTTCACCTATAACTGATCATTTATGATTTGTGAAATCAGATTTATAGGTAGATCACAATTAGGTTACAGCTTTTATAAACTTTCTTTTTGACTCGGGTGTAACAGATGAATGATTTTAGGGTTTTCTTTTAGGTTCATTAAATTTTTATTATGAAGATTTTCAAATATAAACAGTATCGGCAAGATACTATAATGAAACTCCAGTGTTTATTAGCTACATTTACCAGTTATTTAGATTTTGCCATGCTCGCTACCTCTATCCCTTTTCCCCTTTTTCTTTTGGCAAGGGGCATTTTAAAGGAAATCTCAAACATTTCATTTCACCTCTTCCTACTGCATTTGTGTAAAATAAGAACATATTATAGAACCACATAATGAAACACAATCAGATAATTTCTTTGTATTAGTATGTGTAGATATAGAATATTTTCATCACTGCAGAAAGTTCTGTTGGACACCATTCTGTTAGGTGCTATCTGCATCACTGTAGATGAATTTGTATAAGTATTTATGCTCTAAGAAAGTATGCAAGATTGTTCATTTAATGTTTTATTTTTATTTCTTTCAGATGTGTAGAAAAATTAACAGACAAAGGTAAGACTTGGTCACTCTTACCGCTTATGTATGTTTCACTGATTATTATCTTATAATCTGGTAGAAGATAGAATGAGTGAACTTCAGCCTGATAATTCAAGTTGTTCGTATTTAAAGATGACTTTTGTCTAGTAAAGAATTATTGGAATAGGTAGGTAGAATCCAGGCAGGTTTGGGCAAGTGAAACATTTTGACATTATTTAGAAAAAGTGATGGAAAATCAGATTACTTGACATCACTTTATTGCAGTTTTCTGTAAGTGCTGTCTTTTTTGTAGGGGGTAGTAAAGTTACAAAGAGAAAAATGATAGACAATATACAGAGTAAAGCGTAGACAAAATCCTGATGCTGACAGAGACTCAAATTATAAATGCAGTTTGAAGAATGTGGGAAGAAAGTGTTCTAAGATTTCAGCCTGGTGAATAATTAAATGAGGTCATGAGGTCGCTTCTCTTTAAAGAGTTTTAGCAATATTGAATATAGTCTTCTGCTTATCTGAATGTATGAAAGAAAGCTAATGTTCACTTTCTCTTTTTAAACACTTTAACTTTTAAAATTTAAGCTTGATTGTATTTTTTCCCATTACCATTTAGTCCCCCTATACTCACTCTCCTTCCCCCAGCACAGCATTCACCACGCTGTGTCCATGTCCATGAGTCCTTTTTCCTTTTTACTCAGTGCCTCCATCCCCTAACAACACCACTACCACCCACCTACCCATCCACCCACCCCAGTAGCTGTCATCTGCTCTCCATCTATTAATCTCTCTGTTTTGCTTGTTTGTTCAGTTCATTAGAGTCCACATACAAGTGATAAGATATTTGTCTTTCTCTTACTGGCTTATTTCACCTAGCATACTGTTTTCCAGGTCCATCCATACTGTTGCAAAGGGTAAAATTTTTTTCTCTTTAAGGCTTAGTAGTGCTCCATTGTGTAAATGCCCAGTGGTTGCTTTATCCACTCATCTGGTGAAGGACACTCAGGGTGCTTCCATATCTTGGTGATTGTAAATAACGCTGCAGTGAACACAGGGGTGCTTATGTTCTTTTGAACGTAAGTGTCTTGGGTTCCTTCATATATAGTCCCAGAAGTGTGATTTCTGGGTTATAAGTTAGATGCATTTTTAATATTTTTAGGTATCTCCATACTGCTTTCCATAGTGGCTGCACCAGTCTGCATTCCAACCTACAGTTCACTAGGGTCCCCTTTCTCCACAAGCTCACCAGCACTTGTTTGTTGACTTATGGATGGTAGCCATTGTGCCAGGTGTGAGATGGTATCTCATTGTGGTTTTAATTTGCATTTCTCTGATGGTTAGTGATGCTGAGCATCTTTTCGTGTGTTTGTTGGCCATCTGTACGTCTGTCTGCTTTGGAGAGGTGTCTGTTCAGGTCCTTTGCCCATTTTTTAATTGGGTGGTTTGGTTTTTTTGGTGTTGAGTTTTGTAGATTTTGGATATTAACCCCTTATCAGATGTATTGGTGAATATGTTCTCCCATTCTGTGGGTTGTCTTTTTATTTTGTTGATGATTTCTTTTGCTGTGCAAAACCTTTTTACTTTGATGTAGTCCCATTTTAAACACTTTTTTAAAAGACTTTATTCTTCCTTTGCAGATTGGATTATTGAAATTAACCCTAGCCCTGGCTGGCATAGCTCAGTGGATTGAGCGCGGTCCTGTGAACCAAAGGATCGCAGTTTGATTCCCAGTCAGGGCACATGCCTGGGTTGTAGGCCAGTTCCCAACATGGGATGCACCAGAGGCAACCGTACATTGATGTATCTCTCCTTCCCTTCCCCTCTAAAGATAAATAAATTTTAAAAATCTAAAAAAAAAAAATTAAATTAACCCTATCGTACTTGTTTAGTTGCTTATTTGTTTCACCTTTTTTTCTAGTTATTGGCTGTGTTCCTTGATGCTAAATTTAAGTATATAGCATTCTTCTTAAAACTGGAACAGATATGCTTTTAAGCATTTTTTTACATGCCTCCCCCTCTTTAAATTTTTTAAAAATATTTATTTATTTATTTATTTATTTTTTAGAGAAGACAGAGAGAGAAACATCAATGTGTGGTTGCCTCTTGTGCGTGCGTCCCCCCGGGACCCGGCCCACAATCCAGGCCTGTGGCCTGACCAAGAATTGAACTGGTGACCCTTTGGTTCACAGACTGGAGCTCAATCCACTGAGCTACAGCAACCAGGGCATATATATATACATATAGTTTTTAATAAAGGTTTTCCTCTTCATGAAAAATTGTTCCAGTATATGTATATATGTGTGTGTGGTGTGTATCTGTATATACACCACACACAGCAAGTTTAAAACCTGTTGAAATAATGACAGTGTGACTAGGAACCAATAACTTGAAGTGGTGACTGTTTTGTAAACAATTAGATGTCAATGTTCAGGTTTCTTTTTTCTCTGAATTTTAGAATGAGGCTAGTATTTCCATACTGTAACAGGCAGAAGTGTTTTGTACTAGGCAGATTTTTGTATAGAAAGCTTTATATGGCTATTTTGTATAGCAAGTTTTTTATTTTGTTGCTGTTATGTGGAAAATAGGGTATGTCTGCCAAAAATAAAAGGACTTGTGTTCTTTTTGGAAAATTATATGGAGAAAATGTAGCTATAGCTGGCAATCAAATACTAGGGCAGTTCTTATTAAAACATAAATCCCAACCTGCCTTTATTTTTAGAGCTAAATTTTGTGTGTGTGTGTCTAAAGAGTATTTCTAAAGAAAAGAAGTATTTTGGATTGCCTTGAGGATAACTTCGAGAATGTGGTTGAAATTTTGAACCCCTGTTGGGAGGTGAGTTAATTGTTCTTTGTGTAGATGTCTTAAACCAGAGGTTGGATACTGCTGGAACAGCAGTTGTGCAGCTATGAAAAGATTAAAACTGCATTATGGGTAATTCCATCTCAGTATCAATCCCACTCTAATCCACCAGTTAACTGCTCTGGATCTACAGTTAGAGCTCAGGGTTTGAATTCAAGTTCTATCATTTATTCCAAGTAATTCTAATACTTAGCATCCAGTGATTACTCAGTAAATGGTAGGTGTTAAGTTTATAAAATTTTGAAGAAATAGATACTTTCCAACCAAACTGAAATAATAATAAATATATTAGTATAGTTTCCTGTTCCTACTACATTTATATAACCCTGTGGATATGTATATATAAAATAAACGGAAAGTTGCTTTGAAAAATAGCGTTGTTCATTCAACAAGTAATTACTGAGTATCCACTAGATTCCAGCACCATTCGAGGTACTGGGTTGTATTGGTAATCAGTTAAGTGCAATGAAGACATTAAAACAGTGTAATACAATGTTGGATGAATTTTGGAGCTAGAGAAGTTGAGTTTCCATAAAATGGCAAATTTGGGACGATCTTGAGAAGGTAACACTTGAGCTCAGGCCTGAATATGCAGATAGATATCTGGATGAAGAACATTCCACAAAGAAGCAAAGAGCAAAAACTTAAAATACGAAAGCTTGGTTTGCCCACTGCCAGAGGATTCCATCGTCACTGTGAAACTTTCAAGGATATTAGCAGAAATTTTAAGGGATGGAGCCTGGCTAGTTCCTTTTTACCTTGGCTTTGTTTTTATTCTGTTCTTTTTGTTTTGAACCAAGGCTCATATAATTCCAGTTTTAACCATTGGATATGCTGTCAGTTTTAGCTGAAACTACTCTTTCATAAATTATACTCTTCTGAAGTTGGCTTAAATGTAAGTTAAAAAAATCTTACTTTCCCTGACTTCTCAATACTGCTGAGATTAGCTAATATTTCAATATGGACTTTACTAATTATTTGTGGAAAACAAAGTAGAGCTAGTTACAGAAATACACAGAGTAGTCTGATCACGTTTCAGAAACTCAGGTTTCTGACTGTCATAATAATGCTTATGTCTCAAATGGCTGACAGTACGTTAGATGGATATTTTATTTATCCTATTTCCTTCCTAGCCCATTATCTTAAGGTAGCAGGAACCAAATTTTTTTCTATGAGTGCGAGAATGATCTACTTGGTTATCTTGTTCTTTCTTAGTAATATCCCATATCCTTTAAATAAGTTTTCTAGTTCAGACATCTGGATGTGCAGATATATCTCATTTATGGCATATCTGGATTGACCACAGCCTTAGAAAACCTTGATTATCAGTTTATTTCAGTTGTGGGACATTTTGTAAATCAGATAAATGAGTGTTCCTCTTACCTACGAAGAAATAACTTTATAATAATTTGCCCATTACATTGTAAAACCATCTCTGACATAGTTGTAACTTTATTCTGTTATATATAGTAATTATTTTATATTGAAATCCTTTTCCATGCTAGAACCACTTGAGAATTGTAGCAGAATGCTTTGGTATAAGAAAATTAAAGCAGAAGAAATCTAAGGTCCTGAGTGGGGAAACCTATATTCAGCTGATAAGAATCCAAAACCCTTAAGAGACATCTACCTCTACATGAGGCCCTGACATTATTTTCACACTCATATGATCCTGAGTGGGCCAGAACCTCTGACAAAAAGGAATTGGCTCTGATTTGATACTCCCTGACCTTTTAAGTCCAAGAAAGATCAAGCTCCTCTGAATTAAAACTAGCCAGATTGATCTAACTGCATCCAGACAGAGGCTCCTTTAGCTTCGGTGCAGTTAATTCCTTGCAGGTAACTGTGGTTTTAGCCTTCTGCCTGCCCACCTCATTAAACCTGGAGTGCTTCTTTGACCCTAATTAAATGCCCAACTGTTGTCCTAACTTCTTATTGGCTGTTTCTGTTTGTATTTTTGCCTCTATGAGAATTTCTAAACTATATTCTCTACTGTAACTCTCCCCAAACTCCGATGTCAGTTATCTGTTGTTGTGTAACAAACCATCCAAAAATGTAGTAGTTTAAAATACAGCAATTTGTTTTTTTTCTAGTTGGGCTATTATTACCTTGTTGGTCTTTTAGTCCAGACCTTTTCATGTCATGATGGTCTCAGGGCAGTGTT